CAGGGCCCCTCACCAGCACCCCACTTGTCTGGGGCTTGTATTTTATTTTCAAGTCATAACTTTATTTTTTTCTTAAAGACAACTCCCAAATTGTATTAGCTGCGGGCCTCACCAAACCTAGAACTGCATCTGTGCTTACCATTGATTTGTTAATTCCTGTTTCTCCCATTAAATTAACATCTTGGGACATAGCTCTTATCCTGTTTACCTCCATTGCTTGGCCTAGAGCCAGGGACCTAGGAGTGTTCGTGTAATAAATGGATGGATGGATGGATGGATGGATGGATGGATGGATGGATGGATGGGGAGAAAGGAAAACCAGCCTGAGCAGAGATCTCTGTCTGTTAATTTCACTCATTCTGCTTGGATTTCCTCCTTAAAATCACTCAGTACAAGTTAATGCCTTTCCACCTGACAGCCTCTCAGACATTCAAAGATGGCTCTCCCAAGTTTTTTCTCTCTCAGGGAAACAAGTCCTGTTCCAGCAGCTTTTCTTAAAGGTTATCAACAAGGGAAATTCCACCCGCTTGAACTGGGGCCCATTTTCATATCTAATGATTGCCAGGATGTCCTCTTATCTAGTCGGAATGCCTTGGCCTCCAGTCTGCCTCTGGGCCAGCTGATAACGTTTATTTATTTATTTTTTGGGGCGGGGGAGGGGAAATGCCTGAGTTTTAAGGGAGAGTGCACAAACCCATGACTCCTCTAGCAAGGGGAAAAATACAGGCCTGGCCCTCCAGGGGGTGGCCACTGCCCCCTGGGGGAGAGTAACTACTACCCCTCCCTGTCCTTTGATCAGCAAGCCCTGTTCTCCTTCACCCCTCACCGTTTGTGGTCTCTTGTCAGCACTGTGATTGGGTTCCATAAACATCTAGGCTGTCCTGCCCCCAACCCCCTGCCTGCGCCAGACAATACCACTCATGTTTATTTTTCCTGCTTACCCTCAATCTCTTCCCCTTCCCCACTTCTGGCTAGGATGTGAACTCCCTGGGTCTTTGTCTGCCCAGAACAGTGCCTGGCACACAGAGCTCAGAAATATTTGTTGATGCATGAATGACATAGCACCATCAAGTACATATTCTGCATGTATCCTGCTGGGGGCTGGGGCTACAGAGGTATTTAAGTTCAGGCCTCTGCTGTATAGAACAGGCTGTGCTCTGCCCAGTTCCGAGAGGTGATAATGAAACAGAGGGTCCTTGGGACTTGGGTTAAATTAAGTTTTAAATCCTGGCTCTAGAAATCATCTCCCTCTCTCTCTCTACCCCTCAGAGAACCAGCCTTCCCGTGGCTTACCATCAGCCCCCCAGGAAGCAGAAGACAGTGGTCCTGACTTGGTTGCAGGTTCCAGACCTCCGGCACTGGCTAAAGGTAACATCTTGACCTAAGTTATGTTTCATCTCCTGAGCCCTAAGGTGGAACGACCCCCTGACTACTTTCTCATGAAACCAGACAGAGGGACTACGGCGGAGACCTCTGAACTGTCCTCAGGATCTGAAGAAATGATTCATTGCTCTCACCTCACCTCTGTCCAATCAGCTCCCAGCACGACCCCGAACCCCTAACCCATGGTGTCTTGTGTCCCATAGAGTCTGTAACATACAGGCCACTGGGGAGTTCGCGCTTTTGAGCATGAGCTTCCCGTTCTCCTGGGTGGCGCCATTCATAATAAAATAGCCAGTATTTCTCCACTGCGGTTCTCGGTGTTTAGTGTTTGGTTCTGCTAGCACAGGGTGGACGGACTCTTTCTGTTCGATGACAAGGTCCCAATCACCATTACTTTAGTCAACAGGTTGTTTGAAAGTAAACCCACAATCCCATCCCTACCATCTTTTTATTCTATCATTCCACATTTTCTCAAAACTCACAGATGCCATACCTTTAGCTCATTTTCTTCCTCTCCTTGTTTCTTATGTCCTTTGCCCCTATCATCAGCCCATGGGGGACACAGTGGCCATTGTGCCCCCCTCTATAGGGGAGGTCCCATATTGTGTCTGTCTGCCTGTCACCATGGAAGGGCTTAAGCGCGTATCTTATCTAACTGTTTGCATATATCAAACTAATAAACCCCAAGGCCCAAGTGGCTTAGTTTCTACATGGACTCACATACAGA